TTTCCCACAATCCAATGTGCTCTTCAAATGGAAATCACAAGTATGAGGTCTGACCTGGGCGCGACTTGCACTGAATACCACTGGCGACTCCTTCGATACCGTCCAATCACCTAAAATGACCTAATTAAAGCTTGGAAACGTCTTAGTTTGTACTCGTTGATCTGCGCAACAGTCAAAGTCGCCATCTTTGTTTGTATGAGACCCATATATATCGCGCATGCGGTGGCACGACGACTACTGCGCTTTAACCATGCGATAGTCGTACTTACCTGTACAGTTATTCTCGTCCGTACCATCTATGCAGTCTGGCGTTCCATCACAAACGTGCATTAACGGTAAACATACGACACCGAGGTCACACGCGAACATCGAGCATTCTGTATTGTTAAATATGAATCAAAAAGTTGTTTAGAAGAACATATCACGTTGGTACTGAGCAAAACCACGACAATTATACAAGATGTATTGATCCAAGACAACTGCTGTACGGCATACTTTGTAATAAGACTCTTGATATAGTTAGCATTTGTATTTGACCGTTAACTATTATAAAGTGGTCGTTTTTTTTGCTATGATTGTTACTGAACCGGAAATTAAATTTTATAAAAGACAAATTATTCATGACGTCAATGGGTGTAAGCAATGTCGTCCAAATATAGTGTAGAAGTCCGTCATTAGGAAGATAGCAAATCTCTCAAATACAATTTTTGTTTGTTTGTTTTTTAACAAACAAAAAACGATCAATACAAAAAAAAAAAATTATATTGCCCTCAAGTCGTAAAATTGAAAAATTGGGTCGGTCGGTCGGATTTTTTTTTTAAACTTCATAGTATTCGGAACATGTCAGAGAAATACAGATCAACCCGAGGTTCAAAGTCGCTACGTATGCCTCCGGTAACCCTGGCGATCAAACAACGGTCCCGGATCGTTAATTTTTAGAGGAAACACTTTTTACAGCTTAAAATGGTGAGTTTTTAATATTTGGGCCTATTAAAAGAAACACAAAAAAAAACCGCGACTAGATACTGTAGAATACTTTATTTTCGCTTGGAATTTATTTTCGCTATTATCGCTGAAGGGATGTTTCCGTGAAAATAAAATCCAGTGAATATACTTTTTTCCCTATATTTCATATTAAACTCATCAAAAATCAGTGAAAATAAATTCCATACAAAACGCTCAAAAAGCCTTTTCATCAAAAATTAATTCCAGCGAAAATAAAGTATTCAACACTAGTATTTCATATTTTTCGGTCGGTCGCTGAGGGCAACAAAACAATTTTTTTTTGGCCTTACCACTCACGTCACATATGCGCTTCGTCGCTAGTGGGCATCGCTCAGGTACGATGTACAGCTTGTGATGTGTTATATTAAGATAAACTGATCATAATTCTTTAGTCTGAGTAGCGTGTCATACTTTCAACACAGTCATAAACGTAAATATTTCATACGACATTTTAGTATATGTGGGAGATTATAAATTATGAAGTACTTACCTACATCGTTGGGACCCACTGTACTGCCATTGGGTCCCGATCCCGATCCTGAACCTGATCCCGATCCGCTGGACCCAGTGCCTTTGACAAAATAATATTTCACATAAAAATGATGACTAGCTTTAATTATTGGAAGCAGAAGCTGTTGAACGCAAGGATTGCGACTTTGTATCCATTTTTATTGCTATATTACTAGTATATATTCCCATATGAGAAATATAAATTTTAGCGTGAAGTGAACTTTTAATTGCTTCAGAACGGTTGCATTGATTACATGATACGAATGTCTGCATAGATTGTTAATACTTACAATTCTCAGGCTCGTCTGTGCCGTCTTGGCAATCATTGTAATTATCACATACCCAATATGGCGAGATACACTTTGTACTATTATCACAACTGAAATCTGTGCACACTGGGAAGTGAGTAGGAGGACAGTATTGGTATCATATCGTTATATTCAATAATTATTGTGATGAACATAGGTAAAACAGAAACATGTATCGTAATATTGTTTTTGTCCTTGCTTGTATTATCCTGAGATCTTTAAATGTTTTTTTTTCTCTCGGAAACTTTACGTATTGTTAGGCGAGTAATATACAGGCCATCCCATCATGCATAGCGAGCGTATTCTCGTCACTCTCAATACTATCTGATTATCATTATCATTTGACTTAGTGCGGAAACGGGGTTCATATCATCGAGGCTTGGAATGGTTGCATGTTGGTTCCTTGTTTAACACATTTGTGATATTTTTTTCGCAAAACTGTATGTCGCGCACGTATTTCATCGCAAGAGTGAATAGCTGCAAACACCGTTAATGTAACTCTTACCGCAATTTGTTTCGTCCGATCCGTCCATACAGTCTGCGTAGTTATCACATCGATACACAGACTGGAAACATGTTCCGTCGTTGCAGGAGAAATATTCGTCCGATCCAGTAGCACAGTTATCTGAGAAAAGTTGTTTTCAAACGTGTTCGTAACATGATCGGAATATATCAAATGTGCGTAGTTCGGTGAATGTTACAATGAGCATTGTATATTTATAATGTAGAAATGATGAGTGCGTAATGTCAGAAGTATGTCGTCATTAATGAAAGTATTCAGAATTCATTCATTTTGAATTATAATTCCAGCCAATATGCTAACTTTAAAAATGTGCGGTGTTACCGGATTATTTTTCGAGAAAATGATCATGCTTGTTGTATTTTAAAGAATGGTGGATATTGTATGTCAGTATTAGAACACTTGGTAGCAATGTTTTCTATGGTACGTTAGAATCAATGCAAATTTTTTTGGTTTATGACCAAAGACAAAAAAAAAAAAAACGTGATACAAAATGCTATAGAATTGGGAATAGCAAATTTGTGAATAATATTTAAATAGTTAATTTTTCCGATCTGTAACAGACAGTAGAATGGTGTTGACGTTACCATGGAACTATGGGACCATGAACATTGCCTTGCGATTTATCACACATTCGCTCAAACCAAAATGAATAGCCTCTACAACTTTACGCATCGGACAACTAAGTGTGAATACAAGTAATCATATGGTTGCTTTTTTTTTTATAACATCCTGTCTAGATTTTGCAATTCAAATTGGCATTAAAATTAATCAGAAGAAAAATGAAGTAATGACACTGAACATCTCAAACCAATTCAAAGTAAATGGAAAAGACGTTCTTTTATCAAAGAGATTCACTTATCATGGGAGACATGGCGAAAGATCCGGATAAAAAAGATTAGGAATGCGTTTAAAATGCTTAATAACATATAATAGAGGCCCTGAAATTACATAACACTAAGACAAAACACAAGTTGTATTGCAGCTATGTGCTATCCACTCTACTTTATGGCTCTAGTCAGGAGACATGGAACTGACAGTGAGTAACATCAACCAGCTATTAGTTTTTCACACAAAGACTCTGAGAAAAGTTTTGTAGGGTTTTCTTGCCAAACACCATAACCAATCACGATCTACTTATTGATGCCAGTAAGAGAGACGGTTACCGTATTGGAACTGGATTAGACATGGAATGAGGAGAGAACCTAAAGGACATCAGACGGAACAAAAAAAGTGGGAGAGCTAAGACTACCTTGGGTAAAACTGTGGAGGGTATGATATGAACATGAACCGGGGTAGTATCCAGAAAACATAAGAGTGAAGAACCTTTGTTGCTGTACTGCGTGCCAGGAGAAATGGCGGACAGAAACTACCTTAGCTTACCTACTTCCATGTCGGAGCCCATGTCTGACCCTGCGTCTGAACCCATGTTTTGGCAGTCTTGCTGTTCATCATAACCATTTGAACAGTCCGGGTATCCGTCACAGACCCAGTATATTGGTACACATTGTGTGGCATCACATGCAAACTGGTTGTCAGGACATACACCTACCAAAGGCACTGGAACTGAAACATACGACATTGATTAAGTAATGCATCACCATGCATAGTTTGCATCGCAAAGTGCCAACTATCAAATCTAGTCTTCCATTACCAGAGTAACGACCCACGATGTATCGCAATAGTATAATACACTGTGAAAACACGTACCTCGTGTATCTTCTTCGCAGTTTTGTTCATCTGCCGAGTCAGTGCAGTCTGCAAACCCGTCGCACTTAAAGGCCTGTGGAATGCACAATCTACCATTATCGCACAGGAAGCCAGCGGAACAGTTAGCAATTGTTCCTAATATGACATAGAAGACACGTGTTTACGAGTGATTAGTGTGCAGGGGTGATGGTAGAATGGCATATTCAAAGCAGCTATTGCATTTCGTGTTTTTGACTACAAAATTCTCCCAATCCTGCTTTATGGCAGTGCAATATGGGGAACACATAAATCTTACGATATAGAAACAGTTCATCATACATTTTGTAAATTTGTTTTAGGGGTACACCCAAAGGCCACAAACTCTGCTGTGAGGGGGGAGTTGGGAAGACATCTAATTAGAACACATGTGAACAAAGAAATAATTCGGTATTGGTTAAAATGTATAGGTGGTGATAGGTGGTAAAAGAATGTTATGGCTATCAATATGACAGGGTAGAAAGGGGATTTAATTGATGGGCAACATATGTTAAGGATTTGTTATGTAATTTTGGTTTTGCACATGTATGGGAAAGCCAGTATGTGAATAATCCAAATTGTGTTCTGCTACAGTTTAAGCAACGGTGTCTAGATATTTCCCACCAACAGTGGCATGATCAGATTGGTAATAGTTCAAAATTATGCACTTATTCTAAATTTAAAAAAAAATTATTAGCCGGGGAAAAATATCTGGATTCTATCACCATAAGTGTTTTTAGAAAATCTCTCACTTGTTTTAGGATATCTGCTCATGATCTCATGATTGAAAAGGGTAGGGCATTAGGAATACCGCTTGACCAAAGATTGTGTCCTCTTAGTTGTAATCACATTGAAAACGAGTTCCAGTTTCTATTACAATGTCCCAAATTTGAGGAAATTAGAACTCGTTTTATAGACAAGTTTTACTATTGCCCAGCGCTTGAATGGAAATTTATTTTGCTACTGCAATCTGAAAATACACATACAATACAAAATCTTGCAAAATACGTACTAGTATTCTACTCTTTACAAAAACGTCATAGTTTGTTGGAAGAAAATTTAACTGAAATATAAATTTAATTTGGTATTCATAGGTGAAGTATAAGTTTGTATTATCCAGACAAGTAGTAGCAGTGGTTATTCTTGTCAAACGATCTATTTATTTGTGTTACATTTAAGTGTGTACATTATGGCCTACGGCCAATGGTACTGAATAAATATATATACATACATATTCGGTGCGCGGTGAACTGAACACAAATCCTTGATACAAAGAGTGTATCTCAGTGATCACTACAATTATATTAAAATATACAGCTATATGTCTGCTTTATTATTCACTAAGTGATTTAAAATACAATTTCTATGACTATTTTGGTATTCCTTCTGTATTGTTCACATTAGTCCGTTGGTGGCGCAAGCCAGCGTTATTCATATTCCCACTTACCACACCCCAACTCGTCACTTCCGTCTGTGCAGTCTACAACGTCATCACAAACACGTGCTTTTTCGATACATCCTCCTTTTTCTACACATTTAAACTCGCGTGACTTACATTCTGAAAAAAAAATCATTAGTATCAGCAAGTTAGTTATTTGTGGCAACAGTGTCAGATTTACTCGGACGTTCGGGGATTTTGTGATATTTTGAGTATTGCCATAGCAACCTTATTCATATTTATTCGTTTTTGTTATACTTTCAATAACGCTAGTGCATGTGTGTCTTTCATTCAAACATGGTCAGTTTACGCGAAACATTTATCCCAACAAATATACTAAAATTGTGTATGTATATTTCAAATAGCACAAGTAGTGTCATCACTACATATGGACAAAGAACGAAGGGAAAGGTTCAGGATGGATCGAAGAACATTGCATTGTGATTGGTCAATTTGTTTTCAATCCTCATTTGCAATTCATAAAGTGATGTACATATATATATCTTATATCATGTGAGGTGCGTTGGCTGCATTCAGGGCCACATCCAATGGCGTTAAAAATGTCACAGAGGTAAATAACATAGGTATCAGGCGAAAATTCATGTCAAAATTAGAAGATTAGGATTTTGCTGATGACATTGCACTATTTCCATCAAACATTCGCGGTTTACTGAAACTGCAACGCTCTTGGAGACAACAAACATTCAAAAAACCACCAAGTAACTACAAGCAACACCCACGCTATAATGTCCTCGGCTGTCTTCTCTATTGACAATACTTACCACAATCGTCTTCGTCTTCTCCATCGTAACAGTTACGTGTTCTGTCGCACTCTTTTGTTTTAGCGATGCAAAAACCTCTATCGCTGCCACTCTGGCATTTGTACTTGGTAGACCCACAGTCACCTGAAATATTTTAACGTATTCACAGTTTTATACAACATACAGCTCTCAATGACAGACGGTTTGCCGATTGAACGTGTCACTCAAGTTAAAGACCTTGGTGTCATATTGATGGATAACCTTACTTGCTCCGCTCATGTTGGCACTATTGTGAAAAAATAACATGCTAGGTCTAATAAAGCGCACATGTAGACAATTTATCAGTATTACAAGTCTACGCAGTTTGTATATTTCGCTAATTAGAAGTCGTCTTGAATACTGTACCCAAATTTGGTCACCACATCAAAAATACGTAGTTGGTAAAGTTGAGCGGGTCCAACAAAAGTGTGTCAAACACTTGGATCATCACAGTATCATGAAATATGCTTTCGTTTTAATTTATTGTCACTCGAGAATCGTAGAAATTTCCTTGACTCCGTCTTTTTGTATAAATGCCATAATATTATTTTTGATTCTCCCTACACTATTTCCAACATTCCTTTTCATGCTCATTCCAGAAATCTCCGCTCCGTATATTCCTTCAAACTACCTCTTTGTCACAGTAATCTCAGAAAATATTCTTTTATCCCTCGATGTCTTGACTCCTTAAATTGTATTTAATATTGCTGGTTCAGTAGACATTTTTACGAGTCTATCGTCTTTTAGAACATCTGTTTTAAATGCCATAAGTTGAGCTTTGGGTCTTTTTTTATTTTATATTATTTTTTTTAATGTATTTGTAATTTATGAGTGCCTGTAATTAGGGAAACCTGTTGGTTTCTCAAATAAATATATTGTGTGAGTTAGCATAATACTAAGAAATAAATAACTCACCATACACGCAGCCGGATTCGTCGCTGAAATCTCGACAATGGTTAATCCCATCGCATCTTAGGTATTGCTTTACACACAGTTCTCCATTGCCACATGCAAAGTCGTTGTCAATACATGGCACTACGTAAAAACAAAAACATTGATTGTGAAGGTTGTATACTAGTGTACTTACATGTACCATGGATGTACTAACAATGGATGTACTAAGAAATTAATGACTTACATGTACTAATTAATAATGAGAAATTCAACAAACTACTTTACCATGTATTCGTTTTCTATATTTACATATACATGAGGCATAAAGATGAATGTACATAGTATGCTTAGTAAATACAGATTCTTTTCACTTCTGTAAACGTATTTGTGCTGAGTGTTGAAATTGATAACTCGTATTTGCTTACGCCGTTAACCATCAAAGGTGTGACCTTTCTGTCACAGCAGAATTATCCCGTGTGTATGCAAATTAGCAAAGCCACGCAACTTGGATGTGGCAATATATGCAAATTAACATAACCACATCACGTGCTTATGGCAATATATTGTAACATAACCACACCACGTGCTTGTAGCAATATATGCAAATTAGCATAACCACATCACGTGGGTGTGGTATATATCTGACTCACCATAGTAAGGTAAAACATTGTCATTGTCAATGGACAGCAGTCTTCTGTACGGCGAGTCTTGGATGGCGGATTTACGGAGTTTGTTAACGTTACAAACTGTGACCGTTGGAAAGACCAGACGTTTCTCTGTTACTACTTCGATCTAAGGAACGACAGAATAAACGTTATGGTTACCGCCTAACAACGTCTCAGCGATATATAAAGTTACCGCCTAACAACCAGCGATATCACTATATGATATATGTATATATATATTGACAATGCAGTAATTAGGTTATTATAAAGTAATTTTTGTGGCTAAAAAAAATTAGCATCAGCAATTATTAGTATTGGGCATATTTTATTGAACTTGGTGACTGTGTGAAAGGTATGTAATGCTGTTATCGGATGTATCATGATGGAAATGTTGTGTAGTCTTGCACTTTATAAACAAATACTGTAAATGGGTTAATTATTCACTGGGTTTTAATTTTGCTTATTTCGCTGACTAGAAAAATGAATGCGCTAAATTAAAACCCAGTTAATATGTAAAATTTAGCATAGAACACTTTATCTAAATGATAAAACCGTGAATTTAAAACCCACTGAATATGCCTGAACTAGTAAATCAGTGAAATTTAAAGCCAGTGAAAATTAGTCATTTTACAGTAATAAGTACGTTATAAACTAGATCACCAATTCCATATATTAGAGTGTATGCAGTAAGTCTCAGTTTGCCAAATTGTTATTCACTGGAATCATGTATCCGTGTTATTGGGTTGTCGTTGAGGGCGGGTGAGCCAGAGACTACTAGTATAACGAACTGCGGATACGGAATTTGCTGGAATGTATCCCCTACGCTGTGTGACTGGCCGAATGCAAGCAAGGAGTAACCAAACTAGTTTTGGAATCACGAACCTCATGTAATTTGAGAATTTGACAAATTTTATATTCAAAGTGGCTTCCGATAGGCGAGAATGCTATTGGAACAAGCTCCCCAATTTTTTTTTATTTGTTCTTTTTTAAATTTATTTGGTGCCTTTCGCTTGAAGGGCGGCGGTCGTCGCACCGCGTCCTGTTCGATATGGGACTCATAGCGACGTATACAACGCGTGTAAAATACGTTGTTTGTTTACAATGAAATTCGAACAGGCGCTGTGCGACGACCACTACCCTTTAACAGAATTTTAGATTTAACAAGTTAGCCGCCCCCTACTTGGAGTAAATTGTAAACGTTACCTTGGTCACGACGTTTCGCTCAAGGAAATCCTGGATTAAAGTCGTGGAGTGCCAAAAAAACGCACAGAACGCTGCTAGAGTAATCAGTATCCAGAATACTCTGATAAGTAAATTATCAGACATAAATATTCGTGGTATTCCATGTGATGATGTGTTCAACCCACAATCTTTTAAAATACTGGAATAAGATTCTTTCTTTTCACCGCCACCATCTTCTGACGTGTCCTCGTCCGGCCTAGGTAACGGTCTTTGTTCAACTCTGCCGGTTTTCGAGATTGAGAACGGCTGATTTGTGACCGTGGCTCCGTTATCTCGAATATATTGCGAATTCGTATACCCTGAATATGAAGTGTTGTACATTTCATTGCCTTCACCCACTGTTGTGTAGAAGTTTTCATTTCTAGCGAATCGGAGAAAAAACAACAACACGTTGTCATGTTATTATGCGTTTAAATTAACATTCACAATATTTGAGCTGTGTGAGAACAGTCTGCAATTTCACACTAGTCTAGTAGGTGTATTTATCCCCATCTTGAATTTTCAAGGTGAATGTTGTGGAGGGAGGAATGTCCGAGCGAAACAACACCGTGCAGGCGGACGATGATTTATCCCCAATTGTATTGCCCCCCGTCACAATGCATCGACAGGGGCGGTGGTGAGAGTAGACTCTATGGTCAGATTCAATATTCAGAAATATTGCAGTTTTTAATTGTGTTCCCCTAAAGTCTGATTTAAAGGAAGGAAATAAAAACATCACCGAGTCGCCTCTGAAATTCATTTGATTAACTATCCAATCCAGTTGTCATTTCCAATGGGAAAGCAACGAATTATTGGCCTCTCAGGCTGAATTGGTTGATAAATTCCGTCTGATGAACGCGATTTGCATAGTCTAGTAGTTAGAGATGGTGCAGACCAGCGACCGTAATTAAACAAAAGTACTGCGTTACTACTAAATAGTTTTAGGTCAACATTAAGTATAAACATTGTCACGACAAATTTTGTTCTGCCACAAAACGACAGATTTATGTAATAAAACATAAAATGATGGCAACAAGATAACAGACACTGGTCACAAACATCTCGCAGAAATTAATGGGCTTCGATGTATATTAGTATATTTTCTTCCTCTGCAACCCACACTCAGGGTCCCTGTCGCAATATGGCTGCCAACACGCGACGTGGTGATGTAGTATAAATGATTTTCTCGCCAAGAATTTTCTCAGATAAATTGATTTTTCTGGGATATGTATTTTAAGGACTTTTATGAATCATGTTATATTCTACACGAAACATTGAGATTAAAGGGCGGCA